GCAAATAGGATCGGTTAGTAAAAATCCGAAACCCTTGGAATGTTTTACCAGTATATTTCTGCTAGATTTTATATAGATCTATGCAAATGTGTAATTTTTCTCCAATTGGAGAAAATCCAAGAATTATCCTTAAAACCAACATATTGATTAAAGTCCAAATATTTCACTATGCTAAATATATTGTTCAAACTTACCAAATGACTACAAAGAGAAGGTAGAAAATGACATCTTGGGACAAATATCTCTGAACATTTGGTGAAAACATGACAAGTTCTTCACTCATCTAGTAATGCTTTATTTGGTGATAGGAAAGGCCAAAATGTAGATCAAGATTGTGAGATATTGTAAAAGGAGGAGGTTCTAATGTTTATAGAATCTTCTACAAAAAGTTATCTTTGACTAGGCTGAAGCTACACACAGCATAACTCCCAAAATTCTGCTTTTCTCAAGAACATACAGTGCTCAAATCACCAAAGGTCAAGAGCTACTAGAAAGAAGGTCGTATACCAGTAGCAGATGCCATTTTTCCGCTCAAAAATTGTTATGGAGAGAGTGACATCAGCATCCCAGCAGAATGAGTTGTTCCTTTTGTCTCTCCCCTCTAAGTCACAATTAAATGGACATCCATCAGCCAATAGAGGATTCCTTACACAACACAGCAGGGCACTTGAGAGATATACACAGTTATACATCTGAAGGTTGGTAGACTAGATCTCTGGGAACCGGAGGAACTAAGTGAGCAGACACACCTCCTCTTCAACAGCAGCAATCCAGGTTGCAGATCCTCGTATAACATCCAGCATGACTATGGGTGGAGGCAGGGGCAGTCTGGCCCACAGGTGAACACTTTTAGAGTGCTAGTCTGGCCCAGGAGAGCACCTACCTACTTAGGTGGCCCCACCCATGTGAACGCTCCCCATTGAGCTACAGTATCTCAGTCCACATGAAGGCACCCTTTCCCTGAGCACAGCAGCTTGGCTGGACACTCCTGCCACATAAAACACTCAACCTGTGTGAAGGCATTCCACCTGCCCAGCACAGCAGCTCAGCCAAACCCATCCATTGAATATAACAGCCTGGCCTGCATGAAGGCACCCCCATTCATGCAAGCATAACCTGCTTACTGAGCACAGCATCCTACCAAGCATGGAGGACCCTCCTACATGAGCAAGACCTAATGAGTGGCTGCAGCCATCCAATGTAAATGCAGAGCTGCTAGACTGGCATGACTACAAGCAGATAGGGTGTAATTAGAAAACATAACCCCTGCCCTACCTCAACAGTGGCAGGTGGAATCTGTGACCTGAAACTACCACAAGTGTGCTGGCAGAGGATCAATTCATCAAACACTGTGAAGAACTAAATTCACACTGTAGAACAGAAGGAATATGACAGCTCTCCAGAAACCAAACTTGAATTCACAGAAGATTATAACCTAAATGATAAAGAATTCAAAATAGCTGTCATAAAGAAACTTGACGAATTACAAGAAAACACAGAAAGACAGTTCAATGAGCTCAGCAATAAAATGAATGAACAGAAGGAATACTTCACCAAAGATATTGAAGTCCTTAAAAAAAACTATACAGAGGGCCAGCCCAATGGCACAGTGGTTAAGTTCGAATGTTCCACTTCAGTGGCCTGGGGTTTGCTGGTTTGGATCCCAGGTGAGGACATGTCTCGTCTTGGCAAGCCATGCTGTGGCAGCCATCCCACATACAAAGTAGAAGAAGATGGGCATGGATGATAGCTCAGGGCCAGTCTTTCTCAGCAAAAAGAGGAGGGTTGGCAGCAGATGTTAGCTCAGGGCTAATCTTCCTCAAAAAAAAAAAAAAACTATACAGAAATTCTGGATATGAAGAACACACTTAATAAGATTAAAAACAGTGTAAAAACCATAACAAATAGAGTAGACATGGTGGAGGACAGAGTCAGTCTCTTAGAAGATAGAAATCTAGAAATGCTGCAGGTGGAGGAGGAGAGAGAACTAAGATTTTCTAAAATGAAGAAATTCTTTGAGAAATATCCAACTCAATTAGGAAAAATAACATAAGGATAGGTATTCCAGAGGGAGAAACAAGCAGAGAGGTTGTTCAAAGAAATAATAGCTGAGAACTTCCAAAACCTGGGGAAGGAACTGGACTTACAAGTATATGATACCAATAGAACTTGTGATTATATCAAAAAGACCTTCTCCAAGGCTTATAACATTAAAACTGTCAAAAGAAAATGCCAAAGAAAAAACATTGAGGGAAGTTAGGCCCTAACCCTAACTCTCCAAAAAGCAAAAGTCTAGTACCAGATGGCTTCTCTGGATAATTCTACCAAAGATTCAAAGAAGACTTAGTGCCTACCCTTCTCAAACTATTACAAAAAATATAAAGAAGATGGAATGCTTCCTAACACATTATCTGAGGCCAATGTTACCCAGATATCAAAGTGAGACAAGGACAACACACAGAAGGAAAATTACATGCCAACATGACTGATGAACATAGATGCAAAACTCCTTAACAAAATATTAGCAAGTCAAATACAATGATACATTAAAAGAATCATACACCATGACCAAATGGGATTTACACCAGGGACACAGGGATGGTTTAACATCTGCAAATCAACCAATGTGATATACTACATTTAAAAAATGAGAAATAAGAATCACATGATGATCTCGATAGATGTGGAGAAAACATTTCACAAGATCCAACATCTATTTATGATAAAAACTCTCAATAAACTGGGTATAGAAGGAAAGTACCTCAACATAATAAAGGCATATATGACAAACCCAAAGCCAACATCATACTTAACAGCAAAAAGCTGAAAGCCATCCCTCTGAGAACAGGAATAAGACAAGGATGCCCACCTTAACCACTCTTATTCAACATAGTCCTGGAGGTTTTGGCCACAGCAATTAGGCAAGAAAAAGAAATTAAATGTATCTAAATTGGCAAGGAAGAATTAAAACTCTCACTGTTCATGGGTGACATGATTCTATATATGGAAAACCCTAAAGAATCCACTAGAAAACTATTAGAAATAATCAACAACTACAGTAAAGTTTCAGGGTACAAAATTAACATACAAAAATCAGTTGTATTTTTACACACCAATAGTGAGCTATCAGAAAGAAACTCAAGACTACAATCCCATTTACAATTACAACAAAAAGAATAAAATATCTAAGAATACATTTACCCATGGAGGTGAAAGACCTATATACTGAAAACTATAAGACATTCCTGCAAGAAATCGAAGAAGACATAAAGAAATGGAAAGATATTCCATGCATGTGGATTGGAAGAATAAACATAGTTAAAATGTCCACCTTACTTAAAGCAATCTACAGATTCAATGCAATCTCAATCAGAATCCCAATGACATTCTTCACAGAAATAGAACAAGGAATTCTAAAATTTACATGGAACAACAAAAGATCCAAAATAGCCAAAGCAATTCTGAGAAAAAATAATAAAGCTGGAGATATCACAACCTCTGACTTCAAAATATACTAGAAAGTCGTAGCAATCAAAACAGCATGGTACTGGCACAAAAACAAATACACAGATCAATGGAACAGAATTGAGAACCCAGAAATAAAACCACACATCCATGGATAGCTAATCTTTGACAAAGAAGCCAAGAACATACAATGGAGAAAGGAAAGTCTCTTTGATAAATGGTGTTGGGAAAACTGGACAGCCATATGCCAAAAAAATGAAAGTCGACCATTATCCTACACTGTACACAAAAATTAACCCAAAATGGATTAAGGACCTGAATGTAAGACATGAAACCATAAAAATCCTAGAAGAAAATATAAGCAGTACATCTGGCATTAGTCTTAGCAGTATCTTTTGAAATACTATCTCTACTCAGGCAAGGGAAACAAAAGAAAAATAAATGGGACTACATGAGACTAAAAGGCTTCTGCAAGGCAAAGGAAACCATGAAAAAAAAGAAAAGACAACCCACCAACTGGTAGAAAATGTTTGCGAATCATATATCCGACAAGGGATTAATTTCCAATATATAAAAAACTCATACGACTGACAACATAAAAGCAAATAGCTTTATCCAAAAATGGGCAGAAGATATGAACAGACAGTTTTGCGAAGAAGATATACAGATGTACAACAGGCACATGAAGAGATGTTCAACATCACTAATTGTTAGGGAAATGCAAATCAAAACTACAATGAGATATCTCCTTATGCCTGTCAGAATGGCTGTAATTAACAAGACAAAAAGTAACAAATGATGGAGAGTATGTGAAGAAAAAGGAACCCTCATACACTGCTGGTAGGAATGAAAACTGGTGCAGCCACTATGGAAAACAGTATGGGGATTTCTCAAAATTTAAAAATAAAAATACAATATGGTCCAGCTATCCCACTACTGGGTATTTATCCAAAGAACATGAAATCAACAATACAAAGAGATTTGTGCATCCCTATGTTTCTCTCAGTATTATTCACAATAGCCAAGATGTGGAAGCAACCCAAGTGCCCATCAATGCATCAGTGGATGAATGGATAAATAAGATTTATACACACACACACACACACACAATGGAATACTACTCAGTCATAAAAAAAGACAAAATCGTGTCATTTGCTACAACATGGATAGACTTTGAGGGTATTTGTTAAGAAAAATAAGCCAGATAGAGAAAGACAAACACTGTATGAGTTCAGTCATATGTGGAAGATAAACAAACACATGGATAAAGAGAAAAGATTAGTAGTTACCAGAGGGGGAGGTGGTGGTGGGAGGCCAACAGGAGTAAAGGGGCACATATGTATGGAGATGGATAAAAACTAGACTATTGCAGATGAGCACAATGCAGTCTATATAGAAATTAATATACAATCATGTACACCTGAAACTACACAATGTTTCAAACCAATATGACCTCAATAAGATAATTTTTAAAAATTGCCATGCTATAAGATAATTTTGCTTGGATTATAAATTGCAGTATTTATCATAGTTGATTCTGGAATTTGAGTCTGAAATATTATAGTCTAGGTGATGTTTTAATGCTTTTCCTTCATGTAAATGATTGTCACCACACACACAGAAACAAGAACGTGGGGTTGGAGAGACTAGACAAGAGGGATGAGACAAGAAAGAAGAGCCATTGAGAACGTTGGGAAGAGGTAATGACAGAGTGCCAGAGAAAAGAGGGCTGGGGGGAGGAAGGTTGAGTTGGGAGGATAAACCAAAAGAATCCTTCTAGATTAAAGCAGGCTGGAAGCTGAACAATTTTTTAACATTACTTTCTTATTTAACAGATATAGAAGTAAAGGATTAGGGGATGTAAAAAGATCTTTAAATATCACACGAAGGCTTTTCCAAGGTAGTAAGTATAAAGGAAGCTGAGGTCAGGGAGAGTAGCTGGAAGACTGGGAGATTAAAAAAAAAAAATTCTAGAAGTCAGGACTGGAAATGAGAGACAGAGTGGGAGGTCCAGAGCTGTGGGAGGCACGGCTTGTCAGGGATGTGCAATGCGAATGAGGAAGAGATTTGTCAGCTGGAAGAGAGAGAGATTGACTATAGAGTATTGAGAAAAAAGTTTGCTGAAATCAGAGATTAAACACCAGCTCTGAGAGTCAGAAGCTCTATCTCCTAGTGAAATGCTGCTTCTGCCACTTCTATTGTCAGCAGTTCTCTTCCCAGGTGGTGACAATGAGCACGGTAAGAGCACCTCCGGCAGCTCCCAGCACAGAAGCAGGGCATGTGGATAAAAGTATGCTGCGCTTACCACTAACAGTCTGGGCCCTCCTGTCTCTAGCACTCTTCTCCTATTCAGGAGGTTTGGGAGGGAGCCTGAGGCGCTGGGGAAGGCAAATGTCTCAGGCTCTATGGTTTCTTCATATTCTGGATTCTTTTTCTTTGGATCTTTTCAATTTTCATTGTTTTTTGTTCCTTTCTCCTTCTTCCTTTCTCCACACTTTTCTTATCCTTCCACTATCCACAGCCTTCCAGGGGCCAACTTCTTTCCATGTCATCCAGATCTCATCCTTCGCCAACAGTACCTGGGCACAAAATCAAGGCTCAGGCTGGTTGGATGATTTGCAGATCCATGGCTGGGACAGTGACTCGGGCACTGCCATCTTCCTGAAGCCCTGGTCCAAGGGAAATTTCAGTGATGAGGAGGTGACTGAGCTGGAGGAGCTATTTCGACTCTATCTCATTGGATTTGTTCGGGAAGTGCAGGACCGTGCCAGTGAATTCCAGATGGAATGTGAGTGTGGTCCTCTGATGTGGGGAGATGCTCAATGACTTTTTTCTCTCTCTTAATTCAGGCTACTGCTCCCTCTGAACTTTCTCCTTTCCTTCCCACTTTACCCAACTGCATCTCTAGAGTGGTCTCCTACTCTGACTTCATACCTCCACAAAACATTCCAAAATCTTCCTGCTTCCTACACTTTTGTCTGTTAGATGAAGTTCCCCCTTTGTAACCATTTCCTAGTTTGTTTGTGTATAACTTACTTTTCTCAAACTCCAAGCAAGAGACTCTTCCTTCTCCTACCCTGTGCCTGGGTGGACTAAAGTGTGACTACCTCTTCTGCCAATCCATCTCCTTGAGCATTTTGTTCTTCTCAGTGCGATCCTCTCATTCACCCTGGACTGCTATGCTCCTGAGCCCATCACCCTGCTCCTCACACTTTACCCCCCTCCTCCCCATCTCATGTTTCTGCAGTAGCCCTCCTCCACCATTTACGACATGCATATCTCTCCTCAATGCTTTTCTTTTTGAAACACCTCTGAGTACTGTAATTGGTTTTTGGCTCATCATTTCACATTTCAGACCTTTCTCCCCACCAAAACCCAAAACCTTATATCCTTTTCCCATCCCTTTATTTCTCGTTTGCTTTTTAATAACGTTGTCTCTATTTTCCTTCTATCCAGACCCCTTTGAGATCCAGGGCATAGCAGGCTGTGAGCTGCATTCTGGGGGGACCACAGTAAGCTTCTTGAGGGGTGCTTTAGGAGGACTGGATTTCCTGAGCATCAAGAATGAATCATGTGCACCTGCCCCAGAGGGTGGCAGCAGGGCGCAGAAGTTTTGTACACTCATCTCTCAGTATCAAGGGATCGCTGATATCGTAAGGAAGCTCCTCTTAGAAACCTGCCCTCGATATCTCTTGGGTGTCCTCGATGCAGGGAAGGCAGAATTGCAGAGGCAAGGTAAGTCTTATCCTCTCCCCAAGATTTTCTATTTTACTTCCCACTACCTTCTTTCTTTTTTTTTTTTTTTGAGGAAGATTAGCACTGAGCTACCTGCGCCAATCCTCCTCTTTTTGCTGAGGAAAACTGGCCCTGAGCTAACATCTGTGCCCATCTTCCTCTACTTTATATGTGGGACGCCTACCACAGCATGGCTTGCCAAGTGGTGCCATGTCTGCACCCGGAATCCAAACCGGTGAACCCTGGGCCACCAAAGCAGAACGTGGGCATTTAACTGCTGCGCCAGCAGGCCAGCACCCCCCCAACTACGTTCTTTAAATTGAAGAGTAGGAGGTACTTAAGAAGAGAGGGTCTTAATCAATAAAGTAATTTGGTTCCCAAAGGAGTGGAAGCGGTCACTGTCAAACTTGTGGGCTTCTGAGTCCCTATACTCTAGATTATAGTCATAATCTAACACTCTCTCTGCCCTTTTCTGCCCCAGTGAAGCCCGAGGCCTGGCTGTCCAGTGGCCCCGCTCCTGGGCCTGGCCATCTCCTGCTGGTGTGCCACGTCTCAGGATTCTACCCAAAGCCTGTGTGGGTGATGTGGATGCGGGGTGAGCAGGAACAGCCAGGCACTCAGCAAGGTGATGTCCTGCCCAATGCTGATGGGACGTGGTATCTCCGAGTAACCCTGGATGTGGCAGCCGGGGAAGCAGCTGGCCTGGCTTGCCGAGTGAGGCACAGCAGTCTAGGAGGCCAGGACATCATCCTCTACTGGGGTGAGAAAGAACTGGGGCTCAGATGGAAATTGGAGGAGATGGTTCTCAAGCATAGAGGGAGGGACTGGGGAAGAGGTGGGACTTGACAGATGAGAAAGAGTAAGACACAGAGAGATTTCTGGGACTCCAGTCCCAGTAGTAATAAAAATAGATGATATGGATATGGATAAATTATGTCCAGGAACATGAGAGAAGGAGTTGGAGATGCCCGTACGTTGGAAGCAGATGAATGGTAGTGCTGACACTCATGTGAGCAAAGGCAGGTCAAGAGAATTAGAGAATTTTGAGGAATTAGAGGGTTTTACAGTGATATCCTTGTGTTCTCTCCCAATTTCCAGGACGTTCCACCTCCATCGGCTTGATAGTTTTGGCAATAATAGTGCCCTCCTTGATCCTTTTGATATGTTTTGCATTATGGTTTTGGAGGCGCTGGTGAGTTATTATTTTTAATCTTTTCTGTCCACCCTCCCACTCTTGTCTACCATTTTGTCTATTTATATGACTATAGCCTCAATCTTACCACTGGATCCTTTCCTCTTTCTTCCCAACTCCCATCTTATTTATGTAAATATATTTTTTTTAAATTGTGGTAAAATACACATGACATAAAACTTACCATTTTAGCCTTTTTAAAAGGTGCAGTTTAGTAATATTCAGTACACTCACATTTTTGTGCAACCAATCTCTAGAACTCTTTTCATCTTGAAAACACAAAACTCTATACCCATTAAACATCTCCCTAGTCTCTGCTCCCCCAGACCCTGGCAACCACCATTCTATTTTCTGTCTATATAAGTTTGACTACACTAAGTACCTCATACAGATTAAATCATCAGTGTTTGTGTTTTTGTGGCTAGCTTATTTCACTTAGCATAACATCCTCATTGTTCATCCATGTTGTAGCATATGTCAGAATTTCCTTCTTTTTTAAGGCTCCATAATATGGCATTATGTATATATAAAAAACACATTTTGCTTATTCATTCATTTGTCAATGGACACAAGTCCACCTTTTGGCTATTGTGAATAACACTACTATGCACATGAGTGTACAGATATCTTTCATGTAGAGCTATTTTTCTCTTGTGTTCTTAACAGGTCATATCTGAATATCCCATGAGCTCTCATCATCTCTCCTTTTACATTTGGAATAAGGACCCAGAAGCCCAGAAACTCAAATTGTCAGCCCAGGAATCAATCTCATCATATTTCCTCAAACAATCATCGTATTTGATCAAATAAGAGTTCCCATAGTTTGTAAGGTAGATCATAATTTGTAGGCTAGCAGAAAAATAATTAAAAACTGCAAATTTATTATGAGACAGTATCAGTAGTAGGATCTACCTAGATTTTATACATGCGAAATGTGAGAAAGAATGTGTCTGAGAATAAATGAAATATGATGTACAACTTAATGGTGACCTTCCTTTGGCTTCCTGTTTTAAAACTCTTTTTCTTGCTTCTGTTGAAATATCATTTGTCAAAGTAAGCTAACAATAATTATGCTAGGACAATTGTATTTGCAGAGATGATGAGCACTGTAAGGTAATTTTTCTGTCTCTGCCTGAATGACTGTTAACCCTCAAGGCCCAGCTGTGATGCTTCTTCCTCCAGGAAGCCTTCCCCAATGCTGCAATGGGAGTAACCTTCCCTTGTCTGGTGTCGTGCAGAGATCCACTTTACTCGGTGCCCACGGCATTGCAGTTATTTTTGGTTTTCTTCCCCTTCTACTTGTAAGTTCCTTGAGAGAAGGACTTGCTCTAGGTGAATCTCTGGCAAGATCTCTTACTTGCATATGTATTTACTGAGTAAAAATGATCTGAGTTGATATAACTGCCCCGTTAATGGTCTTTATTCAAAGTCATCTCCTTCCTTCATTTTTCCTCTTTAGTTGATATTCTAGATTTCCCTCTTGCTAAAATATTTCCAACATAAGAAAAAATACCATCCTCTCCTTGCTTCTGCCCTGAACTCCTCTGGAGAAAACCACTTGTGTTCATGCTGTAACTATAGTCTACCTACAAAAATTCATCAGAATAAGATCCTGTTCCTCATTTTCTCGGTGTGAATGAGGGAGAGGCAGGATGGGTCAGGGTTAATACACAGCTGGGTTGTTAAATAGTCAAACAAAAGAATTGAGAGAACTTTTTTGTGGATATTTGTGCTGTATCAATTCAGTTATATGTTTGATTTACATTTAACTTCATTCATTTTTTTTGTTTATTCTATAGTATTTTAGAAACCCCATTTTTAAAACTGCAAACTCATTTTGGTTAAAATAGCAAGAGGGTGGAGGAGAATTTGAGTATATTTTTATAGGACTTGGTAAGGGAGGGCAGAGCAAGCAGAAATTTAGGGGAAGCCGGGGATATTGGAAGCAGCTCTCCCACCTGGAAATTTTAGGACAATACAGCCTTTAGGATTTGGGAAGGGTAGTCCTCATGGTCTAGTGGTTAAGATTCAGTACTCTCGCTGCCATACCCCAGGTTTTTTTCTCATTCTAAGCACTACACCACCCATCTGTCTGTTGTCATACTGTCGCAGCTGCATATTGCTGTGATATTGAAAGCTATGCCATTGGGACTTCAAATACCCATAGGGTCACCCATGGCAAACAGGTTTCAGTGGAGCTTCCAGACCAAGACAGACTAGGAAGCAGGACCTAGCCACACACTTTCCAAAAAATTGGCCATGAAAACCCTATGATTCAACATAATAAAGGCCGTATATGACAAACCCACAGCTAACATCATACTCAACAGTGAAAAATTGAAAGCTATTCCTCTAAGAACAGGAACAAGACAAGGATGCCCACTCTTGCCACTCTTATTCAACATAATATTGGAAGTCCTTGCCAGAGCAACTAGGCAAAAGAATAAATAAAAGGGATTCAACTGTAAAGGGAGAAGTAAAACTGTCACTATTTGCAGATAAGCTTTTATATAGAAAAAACCCTAAAAGTTCACAAAAAACTGTTAGAAAAAATAAATGAATACAGTAAACTTGCAGGATACAAAATCAACATACAAAAATCAGTTGCATTCTATTTACTAACAGTGAACTAGCATAAAGAGAAATCAGGAATACAATCTCATTTACAATCACAGCAAAAAGAATAAAATACCTAGGAATAAATGTAACCAAAGAGGTGAAAGACCTGTGCATTGAAAACCATAAAACATTGTTGAAAGAAATCAAAGAAGACACAAAGAAATAGATATCCAGTGCTCATGGATTGAAAAAATTAATATAGTTAAAATGTCCATACTTCCTAAAGCAATCTACAGATTCAATGCAATCTCTATCAAAGTCTCTATCTCATGGAAATAGAACAAATAATTATACAATTTACATGGAACAAAAAGACCCCTGAATAGCTAAAGGAATCCTGAGAAATAAGAAAGCTGGAGGTATCACACTCCCTGATTTCAAAAAATACCAAAAACTATAGTAATAAGAACAGCATGGTACTGGCACAGAAACAGACACACAGATCAATGGAACAGATTTGAGATCCCAGAAATAAAACCACACATCTATGGACAGCTAATTTCAACAAGGGAGCCAAGAACATACAATGGGGAAAGGAAAATCTCTTCAATAAAGGGTGTTGGGAAAACTGGACAGCCACATGCAAAAGAATGAAAGTATACCATTATCTTACACCATACACAAAAATTAACTCAAGCTAGATCAAAAACTTGAATGTCAGACCTGAAACCATAAAACTCCTAGAAGAAAACATAAGCAGTATGCTCTTTGACATCATTCTTAGCAGCATATTTTCAAATATCATGTCTGACCAGGCAAGATAAAGAAAAGAAAAAATAAACAGATTGGACTACATCAAACTAAAAAGCTTCTGCACAGCTAAGGAAACCATGAACAAAATGAAAAGACAATGTAACAACTGGGAAAAGATATTTGTAAATCATATATCTGATAAGGGTAAATACCCAAAATATATAAAGAACTCATGCATCTCAACAACAAAAACAAATAATCCAATTAAAAAATGGGCAAAAGATCTGAACAGATATTTTTCCAAAGAAAATATACAGATGGTCAACAGGCACATGAAAAGATGTGAACATCACTAATTATTAGGGAAATGCAAATCAAAACTACAATGAGATATCACCTTATGCCTATCAGAATGGCTATAATTAACAAAACAAGGAATAGCAAGTGTTGGAGAGGATGTGGAGGAAATTAGGAACTCTCATACACTACTGGTGAGAATGCAAACTGGTGTAACCACTGTGGAAAACAGTATGGAGATTTCTCAAAAAATTAAAAATAAATCTACCATACAATCCAGCTATTCCACTACTCTGTAATTATCCAAAGAACCCCAAAACACTAATTTAAAAAGATACATGCACCTCTATGTTCACTGCAGCAATATTCACAACAGCCAAGACTTGGAAACAACATACATGCCCATCAACAGATGAAGGGATAAAGAAGATGTGGTATATGGAATACTACTCAGCCATAAAAAGATGAAATCTTGCCATTTGCAACAACATGGATGGATCTTGAGGGCATTATGCTACGTGAAATACGTCAGAAGGAGAAAGTCAAATGTCATATGATCTCACTCATAAATAGAAGATAAAAACAACAGCAACAAACAAATACACTCATAGCTACATAGATTAGGTTGGTGGTTACCCAAGAAGAAGTGGGGAGGGAGGGGGCTATAAGGGTTACTGGGAACATGTGTATGGTGATGGATGGTAATCACACTTTTGGTGATGAACATGATGTAGGTTATACAGCAGTCAAAATATAATGACGTACAACTGAAATTTATATAATACTATAAACTAATGTCACCTCAAAAAAAAAAAAACCTGTAGGAAGCAACAAAGCATTGTCTGATATAGTGCTAGGAGATGAGAGGATAGCACAAAAAGAATAGGCAGGGTTCCACTCTGCTGTACACAGGGTCACTAGGAATTGGAATAGACTCAACGGCGCTAACAAAAGAAATGGCCAAAAATATAGCTTTCTCTCCTCTCCATTGGTATAGCTGGTTACTTCTCCAGAATTCATCAAACTTCACCTTGTCTTATAGAGGAGGCATGCTGTGGTTTGCTTCACTGTGCCTTCAGCTACAGTCCAGAATGCTTGACTGCACCCTCAGCTATAGTCCAGGACCTTGATTACTCTTGTGTTTCTTGGAGTGTGGACCATGAACCAGCAGCTGCAGCAGTACCTGTGAGCTTCTTGGAAAAATAAATTTTCAGGCCCCACTCTAGACCTATTGAAACAGAAAATCTGGGAATGTGAACCAGAAATCTGTTTTAACAAGCCTTTTTACTAGACCTTGGAAATTTGTTCTCTTCCTCTTGTATGTCCTTTCTCTCTCTCATCTTGACAAGGGTTTATCAATTCTATAAATTTTTCAAAAACTAACTTTAGTCTTGGTTGGTTCTTTCTTTGGTCATATTTTCTTTATTATTTCCTTCCTTCTACTTTCTTTGCATTTAATTTGTTGTTATATAAGGATTCTGATCACCCAATTCCAGTGTGTGGGGAGGGAAGTTCCCCAATACATCCAACAAGGAATTCTCTGCACACTAAATGGCTGACTTACAATTCAACTCAATTCTGTCACTATCTACCTGGAAATAACATCAGATTCCACAGGTTAAGGATTCAGTCCTACAAGACTGCCCCTCTCCTTCAGATGCCAATCACAAGTTCAGGCTACTAGCTGTGTTCTGACCAACTGGCTATAGGTCAGAGGTTCCCACAACCTCCTCCTTGGGTTCAATTAATTTGGTAGAGTGGCTCACAAAACTCAGAGAAACATTTTACTTACTAGATCATTGGTTTATTATAAAAGGATGTAATTCAGGAACAGCCAGATAGAAGAGATGCATAAGGAAAGGTACAGGAAAAGGGTGCAGAGCTTCCATGCCTTCTCCAAGCTAACACTCTCCTGAATTTTGACATGTTCACCAACCTGGAAGCTCTCTGAACCCCATCCTTTTGAGTATTTATTGAGGCTTCATTATGTAGGTATGTTTGATTAAATCGTTGGTCATTGGCTATTGATTCAACCTCCAGTCCCTCACTTTTCCTGGGAGGTTAGGGTGGGCAGGGCTGAAAGTACTAACCCTCTAATCAGGTGATTTGCTTCCCTTAACAACCAGCCTCCATCCTTAGGTTATCTAGGGGCTTTCCAAAGGTCACCTCATTAACATAACAAAACACACATTGATTGCTTAGAAAATTTCAAAGGTTTTAGGAGCTCTGTGCCAGAAATGAGAACAAAGACCAAATGTATATTTCTTATTACAAACCATGTTATCACATTATGTTTCTATTTTTTTGATACAGATGCTTAAACAATTTATATTTAGCCATTATTTTCTCATACGTGCT